CAATATCACTGCCTTCCATTTCCACATCTTGTCCCACTGGAAGGTCCTAAGGGGCAATAATAGGCTTGGAGCTGTCATCTCTTACGGCAATATCTTCCTCTGAAATACCTTGTGAAGGACCTGCCTGAGGCTGTTTTACTGTTAATTAAAAAAAAAATTAAGTAGAAAAAATACACTCTAAAATAACAATAAAAAGTATAGTAAGTAAATGCAGAAACCAGTAACATAGTCATATTATCAATATCAAATATGTGTTACACATAATCATATGTGTTATACTTTGATACAACTGGCAGTGTAATAGGTTTGTTTACACCAGCATCAACACAAACAAGTGAGCAATTGTTGTGCTACAACGTTACCATGGCTACTATGTCACTAGGCAATAGGAGTTTTTCAGCTTCATTATAATCTTATGGGACCACAGTTGTACATGTGGTCCATCACTGACTGAAACATTGTTATACAGCACATGATTGTGCTTTTAAAATTTAAGTGCTTTTGCTAAATGGTTACATACCATATATTCTAGTCTATATCTTCTGTGCATATGATGTCAGCTATTACAATATGCATAGAAGGTATAGGCTAGAATTCATGGTGTGTTATTTATACATAAATAAAAATTATAAATAGATCTCTTTGCTTATAAATGCAAAGGCTATCTCCGAAGGATATATGAATTGATAACATGTATGTTTCTGGGGAGGGGAACTAGATTAGGAATCAGAGATGGAAGCAAGACTTACTTTTCAGTGTAAACCTTTAGGTTTCATATTACTTGTATTTTATGCTAGGGATTAAGAAAATAATGCAGCTGGGTATGGTGGCTCTCACCTATAATCCTAGCACTTTGGGAGGCCAACAAGGGCAGATCACTTGATCCTGGTTTGAGACCAGCCTGGACAACATGGTGAAACCCCATCTCTACAAAAAATACAAAAATTAGCTGGGCATGATGGCACATGCCTTTAGTCCCAGCTACTTGGGAGGATGAAGCAGGAGAATCACTTGAGCCCGGGAAGTCAAGACTGCAGTGAGCCGAGATAGCGCCACTGCACTCCAACCTGGGTGACAGAGTGAGACCCTATCTCAAAAAAAAAAATATATATATATATATATATATATATATTATACATATATATGTATGTATAATAATAATAATGCAAAGTAATACTGGCAAATAGTATATACTTGAATTATTTTCCATAAGTATGTATTATCTTTTAAATTAACAAATAAAATATATTAAAATAGATGGTACTTTTTTTTTGGTAGAGACAGTCTTGCTCTGTTGCACAAGCTGGGGTGCAGTGGCACAATCATGGCTCACTGCAGCTTCAAATTTCTGGGCTCAAATAATCCTCCTGCTTCAGCCTCCTAAACAGCTGGGATTATAGATGTGTGCCACCACACCTGGCTAATTTTTTACTTTTTGTAGAAAGGGTGGTCTCCCTGTGTTGCCCAGGCTGGTCTTGAACTCCTGGCCTCAAGCCATCCTCCCACTTTGGCCTCCCAAAGTGCTGGGACTACAGGTGTCAGCCACTGCACCTGGCCTTAGGTGGCACTCTTTTGTATGAAAAAATATTGGAGAAAATACACTAAAATGTTAACATTCATAGTTTCTGAGTGGGCAGGATGTCAGTTAATTTTAAATTCTCTTTTTTATACTTTTGTATAATATAATTTTCAAATTTTTTATAATGAATACATTCATAGAAGAAATTTTTTCTTGTAAACAAAGAAAGATGACTGGCAGCAGAGTGGAGGATGGTGTGAAGTGGTTGCTTTCTTTGTTTTAATGTAGAAAAAGCATAATGTGGGCCGGGCGCGGTGGCTCAAGCCTGTAATCCCAGCACTTTGGGAGGCTGAGGCGGGTGGATCATGAGGTCAAGAGATCAAGACCATCCTGGTCAACATGGTGAAACCCCATCTCTACTAAAAATACAAAAATTTAGCTGGGCATGGTGGCGTGTGCCTGTAATCCCAGCTACTCAGGAGGCTGAGGCAGGAGAATTG